TTCGGCCAACTCCTCGTTTCCCATGATACAAATGGGTCGGGTACGTCACATGGTAATTTGACACGGATCGTGCCGCCCCAGCACGCGCCAGGGAGTTCGAACGATTTCGATACGCGCGCGCGCGAAACCCGTTTGGTAGCACTGTATGAGAATATCGTTTTCTTGCGAATTCGCAGGAGGGCGCGCGCGCTGCTGTTGAACATCAGTGTTGCGAAACCTGTATTTTTATGCGTTTTTGGATTCGATTTTGGCATCCTTCCGCAATCGAAGGTTTTTGGATTCCGGCATGCGCGCGCGACCACGCCCGAGCGTACATGTCGTCCACTTTTCGCAGGGGATTTGCACGACGGTACACGCGCAAGGGCGTTCGAACGCTTTGGACATGCGCGCCCGCGAAGCCCGTTCGCGTGAATTCCTTGAAAATGTTGAAAAACCATGCTTGTCGTAAGAATTCGCAAGAGTGCGCGCGCGCTTTCGTTGCAATTCCGCGCTGCGAAACCATATGTTTTATATGCTGTTGGGTCACTAGATTTTAAAATCCGCCCGAAGCGGCAGGTTTTTGAAGGATTTCGGCATGCGCGCGCGACGGCGCGCGCGTGTGCACTTCGTAAAATCTGGTGCAACGGGTGCTTGGAAGCTTATGCTTTGTGATAAGCGAGTGCGCGCGCATAGTATTTTCTGCTGAGATACAGAGGGGGGGCTGGTTCCGGCTTGGCTGGGCTAGTATGGATTCACAGGTAGGGTGGACATTGGGTCAGAACCATTTGTGTTTTGCATTGGTTCCTGGGGGCAGGATAAGTCTGGGGGGGGAGAGGGGTGGTGGATTTTTTTCTTAGAAATGATAATGCATTTCCGTTCGCGGCGAGTTGTCCGTTCCACTTCTCGAACTGGGGGGGTATAGCCACGTATTTTTAAGGAAGGAGAATCGAGGTGGTGCATTCTATGTGGAGCAGTTCGCCCCGCCGAACTGGAAGTTGTCAAGTCCAGTGCCCCCGCAGTCATCCCGCCCGCCCATGCGCAACTTGGTTTGCAAAACCCTTGCGGCGGCGATTGCGATGAGTGCTCGGAGTTGGCTGGTGCATCTCCTCGGCCGCGTTAGCCCGCGCGTGCTCGCGCGCGCAGCGGCCAGATAGTTTGGCGCTACTGGCTCGGCCGCGGTGGCGCTGGCCGCCGGGCACGTCCCGGTGGGCACTTCGGTGCGAGTCGGCGAGTTGGGCGGCCGCGGTATCACGGCAATGTCGACAACGGTAGGCGTGATGATGGCGGCAGAGATGCCGGCGACGATGGCGACAACGACGACGGCAAGGCCAGCGACGGCGCCGACGTTGATCGCGCCGACAACGATGGTGGCATTCTCGCGTCGGTGATGAAGGTTTGTGAGGGAGTTCGACGAGCGCGCGGTCGACGCGAGAGCGTGGCCTGGATGGAATTATTTGACGCGGATCGCGCCCCCCCTGCCCCCCCGCCCCAGCGCGCGCGCCAGGGCGTTCGCATGATTTCCGTAAGCGGCGCGATGGGTCCGTTTGGCAGAAATTTCTGAATACGTTGAAACACGCGTGGTTATCTTGAGGATTCGCGGGGGTGCGAGCGCAGGCATTTTTGAAAACTGAGGTTCCAGACCAATGTGCTCTATATGTTTTCGGGGCATTAGATTTTGAAATCGCTGCGACTCCTGAGTTGTGAGCACCTGTGGGCCCGGGACAGTCGCGGATCTTGCCGCGGGGTATCAGCCTGGAGTCTCGCCAGAGTTGCGCGTGAATTAGCTGGGGCTTTTTTGTTTGCAAAAAATCAAAGCTTTAAACATGTGCATATATAAGATGTGTAACAACAAATGCTTAAAACCTTGAAAAATTCCCGTCATCGGTCGCAATCTGGATTCGGTTGCGCGGGCTCGACGGGCGATGGAGAGTGCAAAGCGCCCCTGCCGAGCGCGACCTCAGCGCCCCCGGCAGTCGCGCAGCGCATCGCACTTTGTGGGGCGGCGGGGGAACGTCCCCAGTAGTCCCGGCGGGCCCTGCGCGACCAGGATCATCATGTTCGGCCGCGTTGAACTGTTCATGCGACGCATGTTCAGTTTCGACATTGGGCCCCTTGTCAGCGTGATGCAACAAGCCCCAGTGGTATGCAATCGGTGCCTGATGGCGCCCTCGGGCTTCTCATAGGATCCCTCGCTGGCCTTCAGGCGCGTTTTGGTGCCTATATGACACCAGATGGGTCATCGCGCTTCTAAATGCTTTCTGCGGGCCCCATCTTTATTCGGCATTCTCGCCCCGTCGTTCCACTGGCCTGCCGCTGGTTCCACGCGGGGGCCGAGGTTCACGCGCTTGCAGTGTCTCAGCTTTCCCAGGAGCTACAATTGATTATCAGTTGGGGGGGTGCTGTTCCCTTTCGTTTTTGTCGTTTTTTGGTTTGGGCGCGTCGTTCGATTTTCTTCGTTGGGGGGGGGGGAGATTCGAGCTCTCGGAGCGATCTGTCTGCGTCGTTTCTGATTCGCTCATTCGCGAACCTCGCTGTGCGAGTCTCGTCTGAGTTGGCCGCGTGGTGAGGGTCCGCGTGGCGGGGCGGGGGCCGCCCCCGATCCTCATTTTGCTGGTGCGCCCTGGGGTGGGTGGGGGGGGGGGGGCGAAAAAATCCCCCCCCCACCCCCCCTCCTCCCTCCCCCTCTTCTTCGCCCTCCTCATCCCCCTCTGCCTCCCCCTCCTCCGCCTCCTCCTCCTTCTCCGCCTCCGCCTCCCCCTCCTCCCCCTCCGCCTCTGCCTCCTCCTCCTGGGCCGAGGCTGTCGGGTGGGGCGGTGAGGAAAGAGGAAGAGAGAGAGAAGGAGGGGAAGGTGAGCGGAGAGAGTGTGAATAGGGGTAAAGAGAGAGAGAAAAAAAAAAAGAAGAGAGAGAGGAGAGAGAGAGAGTGAGAGAGAGTGAGAGAGAGGAGAGAAGAGAAGAGAAGAGAAGAGAAGAGAAGAGAAGAGAAGAGAAGAGAAGAGAAGAGAAGAGAAGAGAGAGAGAGGAGAGAGGAGAGAGAGAGAGAGAGAGAGAGAGAGATAGATAGAGAGAGAGAGGAAAAAAAAAGAGAGAGAAAGAGAAAGAGAGAGAGAGAGATACGAGAAGAGAAGAGAAGAGAAGAGTAGAGAAGAGAAGAGAAGAGAAGAGAAGAGAACAGAGAAGAGAGAAGAGAGAAGAGAGGAGAAGAGAAGAGAAGAGAAGAGAAGAGAAGAATGGAAAAGAGAAGAGAAGAAAAGGAAAGAGACGAGAGGAGAGAGGGGGAAACTTTATATATATAAAAAAGAGAGAAAGAGAGAAAGAGAGAACGAGAGGGAGAGAGAACCCCCCCAAAAAAAGAGGAAGAGAAAGAGAAAGAGAAAGTGAAAGAGAAAGCGAAGGAGAAAGAGAAAGAGAAAGAGAAAGAAAGAGAAAGAGAAAGATAAGGAGAAGGAGAAGGAAAAGGAGAAGGAAAAAGAGAGAGAGAAAGAGAACGAGAAAGAGAAAGAGAAAGAGAAAGAAAAAGAAAAAGAAAAAGAAAAAGGAAAAAAGAAAAAGAAAAGAAAAAGAAAAAGAAAAAGAAAAAGAGGAAGAGGAAGAGGAAGAGGAAGAGGAAGAGGAAGGAGGAAGAGGAAGAGGAAGAGGAAGAGGAAGAGGAAGAGGAAGAGGAAGAGGAAGAGGAAGAGGAAGAGGAAGAGGAAGAGGAAGAGGAAGAGGAAGAGGAAGCGGAAGAGGAAGAGGAAGAGGAAGAGGAAGAGGAAGAGGAAGAGGAAGAGGAAGAGGAAGAGGAAGAGGAAGAGGAAGAGGAAGAGGAAGAGGACGAGGACGAGGACGAGGACGAGGAAGAGGAAGAGGAAGAGGGAAGAGGAAGAGGAAGAGGAAGAGGAAGAGGAAGAGAGAGGAGAGAGAGAGAGAGAGAGAGAGAGACGAGAGAGAGGAGGGACCGGGAGGGTGGGCGATGTGGGCGCGGGCCCCCGTAATCCGGGCCAACTTCAGGAAAACCCGGACACCCCGGCGAACCCGGAGGCTTTTCTACGCGCTGGCCCCGACCACACGGACGCGCCAGGCCCCAAGCGCGGCTGCCTCGACTGCAGGGCGGCGGGGCCAAAGGAGAGGAGGAGAAGAGGAGCTGGGAAGCCTCCCCCCACCCCCGCCCCTGTTCGAGAACTGCAACGCTCCTCGAGCAATGCGCGACGGCGGGCGGCACGAGGGGCGAGGCGGCACGAGGGGCGAGGCGCCTGAAGCTGAGATCCCCAGAACTGCTCGCAAGCCCAGCTGGGCGCCCGCGGCGAACTGGGCAGCACGAATTGCCGGAGAGAGAAGGGGGGGGGGCCGGAAAGGCAGGGCGAGAGGGGGGCGAAGCAGGAAGGAGAACACAATGGAAAAGGCGGGCAAGAAGGAAGAGGATGGAGAAGCAACAGCAAGAGGGAGAGGAAGAAGAGGACCAGCAGGAGGAGGAGGAGTGCGTGGGGAGGGGGAGGTGGAGGGCACGGAGGAGAGGGGGGCAGGGGGGGGGCACTTGAGCATCGCACGCACCCCCGGCATCCCTCTGCGAGGTTCGGCCCAGCACCCGCCCGCAGCGGACGGGGGGGAGAGCGAGAAGGAAGTGGAAGAAGGAACGAAGGAAGGAGGCCAGGGAGACGGAGGAGGAGCAGCAGCAGCAGCAGCAGCAGCAGCAGGGGGCGAGCGGGCGGACCGAGGACTACGCGCCAACGCAAATTAGCGGGCCGATGCCCTTGGTGGAACGACCGCGCGCCGATTCAGCACGGGATGCTCATCTTCTTGATGCCCGTCGCCACCCCCGCGCCCGGCTTGATCTTTTTGCGGGGGGGGGGGGGCCCCCTACTCGTCGAGGGGCCCCCGCGCGTGGCGGGCCCGCGTTGCCGCTTCGAATTGCCCCAGCGCCGCGGCGCCCCCCTCGCGGCCGCCGTGGAGGGCGCCCCCGTGGAGAACGAAACCCATTTTTGCGCGGCGGCGCGACGACGCCACGCGCGAGCCCCCACCGCCGCTGAACAAGAAAGATTGACCTTGCCTGGGTCGATGTGCTCCCACGCGGTCTTCGCGCGCTCGTTAAAGTCGTCGACGTCGACGGTCTGGGCATTCTCCGCCACGGAGCTCCAGAGCTGGTCGACCCCGCCCTTGCGGCGCTCCTTTGCGCGAGGCCGGGATTCTCATGGGGGCCGGGAGAACCGCGTGATCTCCTGGTACAGCGGCCGCGCGATATCGGGTTTCACGCAAGCTTGCACATGCACCTCCTGCCCCTTCAGGTAGTCGCAGAATTGCATCCGGCTTTGCAACCGGCGATCGATGCCGACCCCGCGCCTCTCATCGCTGTCACTGGCCAACTCTGTGGCGTAGATGGCCCCCGTCTTCTGCTCGACTTTGCACGAGCCCCACGGCTCGCGCGGCGGCGTGACGTCGAACTCCCCGCGGCCGCAAGCGTTCAGAAAGGATTTGAGGACCGTCTCCCAAACCCTCAAGTACGCGCGCGGCTCAGCGGGCTTCTCGCCGTTGCCGGAGTTCGCCTGGCAGGGAAGCGCGCGCGATCATCGAGCATCACTGCATCATGCAACGGCGGGGCAAGGGCAATGCAAATCTGGGAGGGCGCGCGCGCAGACGCGCGCGCCACGTGTGCCAGCGAAGCGCAAGAAGCGAAACGCCTGCGGCATTACCGACAGGGTTCCACGACATATTTGAATCTGCTCGCGCGCAGAAACTGCGCTCGGGCGGCTGCCGCAGCAGCAGCGGCGCGAGCACATAGCGAATCATGGACCATGCCACAACAACACGCCACGCGTGGCACACAAGGAGAAAACTACATATATGACTGAGGAGGCAAAAAAAAGCAAATATAGAAAGTAGAATAAACGCACAGGCGTGTACTACTATACTACGTACTACTTACTACTAATACTACTACTAGTAACTACTACGACTACTACTACGTCTACTGCTACTACGACTTACGACTACGACTACGGACTACGGGACTTACGACTACTACTTACTAACTACTCTACTAATTACTACTTACTACTACTTACGATACCCCTACTTACTACTACTACGACTACTACTACTACTACTACTACTACTACTACTACTACTACTACTTACTACTTACTACTACTTACTACTACTACTACTACTACTACTACTACTACTACTACTACTACTACTACTACTACTACTACTACTACGACTACTACTACGACTACTAATAATACGACTTCTACTACTACTACTACTACTACTACTACTACTACGACGACGACGACGACGACGACTACTACTACTTACTACTAATACTACTCGCGAATTTGTTCTGGCGCAGTTGAGCCCAGCCGCAGGTGCCTAACTATTACCATGGGGCACTGAGCCCGCCCGCGCGCAGGCGCTGAGTTCTTATCTTTAGCAAGGTGGGGTGGGCATCGCGGGGTGGGTATGCGGGCGGGGCGCGGGCCACGGGTGTCGCAATGGGTCGCGAGTGGGTCGCATCGGGTCGCGGGGCGGTCACGGGTGGGTCGCGGGGTGGGTCGCGGGTGGATCGCGGGAGGGTCGCGGGTGAGGTCGCGGGGCGGGCCGCAGGGTGGGTCTCGGGTGGGAAAAATGTGAAAGATTTGCAAAAATTGGTCGCGGTGGCCGCGGGGCAAGTCGCGGGGCGGGTCTCGGGTGGGTCGCCGGGCGGTCGCAAATGGGTCGCGGGTGGGTCGCGGGGCGGGTCGCGGGGCGGGTCGCGGGGCGGATTGCGGGCGGGTCGCGGGGCGGGCCGCGGGGCGGGTCGCGAGCGGGTCGCGGGGTGGGTCGCGGAGCGGGTCGTGGAGTGGGTCGAAGGGCGGGTCGCGGGGCGGGTCGCGGGCGGGCCGCGGGCGGATCGCGGGGCCAGTCGCGGGCGGGTCGCGAGGTGGGTCGCGGAGCGGGTCGCGGAGTGGGTCGCGGGGCGGGTCGCGGGGCGGGCCGCGGGCGGGTCGCGGGCCCGTCGCAGGGGGGGCGGCGACAACCAACAACAGCAACGCAGTTTAAGACTGTTTGCTTTTATCTGCTCGCGCGCCATTGAATACGCATATCCCAAGCCCTGGGCGCCCGCCCTCTTCGTCTTCGATCGCGCCCCCTTTTGGGGGGGCGCATTCATCCCCTGCCGCGCGCGGCTGGAGTCCCTGAAAACGACGGGCAACAGATAGCGGGGGGCACCGAGGACGGAGGGATCGGCGAAAGGGGGGGGGGCGCGAAGGGGGGAGGGCGATGATTTGCGCTGCGCGCGGCGTTTAGCTTGCGCCACGGCTTGCGCCAACCGCTCCAACGCAGGTCAACGATGAGTTTCGCCACGGGCCGCGCCATCAACAGCGCCGCGCACCACCCCCCCGATTGAACGCGTCGCGGATGCCCCCACGGGGGGGCGCACAGCCGCGAACTGGTGTCAGAAACAGATTCCGTGGAACCCTGCAGATAAGCGAGACCCTGAGAGAGCGGGGGTGAAGGACCGCAAGAACTGCGGCCGCGTCGAGAGGGGCGCGGGGACGAGGAGTGGATCTCGACGGAGTGGACAAGAGTAGGGTCTCAGGAAAAGGAGCAGCAAGGAGTGGGGAAGAGGGGCCGGGGGGGGGGCGGGGGGCGGGGGGCGCGCGGTGGAAACCGGAGGAGGGGCTGGGAACATTATAGAAAAATTGCGGAATGCGAGCGGGGAGGGGCGGAGACGGCCGGGGCGGGGCGGGGCAGCCAGGGGAGGGGCGGGCGGAGCTCTAAGAACTGAAGAATAGCACGATGGAGCACAAACGAAATGAAAGTGACAACAAAGGGAAAGAGCCGAGATGACGGGAAAATAACGTTGAAAAGCGGGGGCAGGTGGATACAAGCGGAGACTGGCGCGGAAACGAAGCGCGGGCGGATTGGAAGGCGCCCGAGAGCCTCCCGCGACCTCTGGGGGGCCTCGGAATGGCCCCGATGACCACCGAGTAATCCCAGAGGCTCCGAGAACCTGCGGGAACGCCCCGGGGGCCTCGTCAAGGGAGGACTTCATTCGAAGCCTGCAGCAGATCTTGTGCCAGCGGAACGCGCGCGTCTCAGAGGCCGGCGAACCGGGCCCCGGCAAGCAGCGGGCCGTCGGCCTGGCCAGCGGCGACGCCGGCGACGCACGCACCGACCCGCGGCAACCCGACCCCGAGATGGACAAACAGCGGGCTCGCCACGACGACGACGACCACGACGAGAGGAGGGGGGGGGGGAGGAAGAGGAGGGGCGGGGGAAGGCGGGGAGGGAGGGAAGGAGGGGAAGAGGGAGGAAGGGAGGGGGGAGAGGGAGGGGGTCGGGGGCCGAAGGGCCGACAGGCTGGCCCTCGGCAGGCGGCGAAGCAGCCGCGCGGACGATCGGCGTCGCTGGTCGACGGGCCGGAGCACCT